TGAATATGTCATCTTGGGCTTTGATAAATCATAACTGTTATTGTATAAGTATATCATGGCATTTTTAAACAAAGTAATACATTAAATAATCAAAATAATTGTTAGTTGCAGCCCTTATATTATGGATTAAATGTCTATAATATCATAACAATAGGCCGAATTAATGTGCATGATTAAACAGAAAATAGGAATAAATACAAGTTGGAAAATTAATATTTTACCCAAAGCAGAGGTTGTTAAAAATACTTTAAAATAGTTTATGCATGCACATTGAGTCCTTTATTTATCCACACACTTGATTGACACAAAAATTGATTAGACTAAGGAAGGAAAAGTTTCGACTTTGCTGAATCTTATCAGGCAGTGATTAACACGACTTAAATTAATTACATCCTGTCATGGCCAACTGATCAAACATAAAATACGCTGAGTCTTTATCAGATAGATTCCAGGTGTGAAATGGTCAGAGTTAAAGCTTTGAACTCTCCGTCTTTCTTTCCGTGGAGGTGAGAAGCTGTTTCATTTTCATTCAGTTTAAATCAGCATTTACACCTAGACTTCATCAGTGGTGACTCGAAACTCATCGTGATTCTTAACATGCTGTAAATAACATCAGCGTAACTCGTCAGCATGATCGAGAAGCACCGTCGGTTGTGGCTCTGTTAGTCATTAGTTCTGTCACTCTGTGCTCCGTGTCATCTGTGCGCGATAATGTCAGACCAAGCTAACGTTGTGATGTCAGCGAGAGGACACGTTAAAGGGAACAGGATTCATGCACGATGTGTTGAAACTTAACAGATAAAGTTTGTCTGATTGATATAAAACTGAATCTTTTGGCCTGAACATGGTGCATCCAGCCTGTTGACCCTCTGTATATCTCTGTATATAGATGTCAGGGTGGGTGGAGGTGATGGTGGCGGTGGTGGGGGGGTGCAGAGGGTTTGCTGTAAACAAGCAATGTTGCATTTGTTGGAAACGTGGGAATTGAAATGGTCTCCTCGTCTCTGTTCTGGGCTTCTTGCTAATAATCTTTCTGCGTGTCCTTCCTGTCCTGTTTGTGCATCTTACAGTTTGTCTTTCTTAACTTCTAATAAAACCTAAACTCTTTGCTCACCTGAAACCTGTGCCTGTCGCCTCTTTGTGTGTTCCCTCTCTTCTCTGTGTGTGCGTGCCTTCATAACTGAGTGAGCTCTAAACATTAATAACACCTCACAGCAGCAGCAGCAGCAGCAGCAGCAGCAGCAGCGCTCTCAATACTGAAACTACTTTAAACTAACCTTGGGAGCTGGAAGATCTCTGCGTCACCAGGTCTTTGTTGGCTTCAGAAACAATAACTTCACAGTTTTCAATGAACTAGTGGAATAAATGTTTATCAGGTGTCAACAAAGGAAGAGTGAAAATAATCCTCCAGAAGCTCACGGAGTTGGTCAATGTCAGAATTTATTACATCCTTTCTTTACCTCGAGATAATCTTAATTTATTACTCATCAGACATTGGTTAATTTGAGACTGAAAGTTAATTCAGATAAACTCAAGTCAGTTTTATTTATGTAGCCCAACATCACAAATCTCAAAAAGACGAGCTTTTCACTGTTGACCTCAGAAACTGATTAAAACAAATTTTAGATTTAGTTTAGTTTACATACTGTGTAGAGAGACTTTGCTCATAATGACACTTCCACCGTTTGAGTTTACCTCTTCAACACCTCCGACAGGTCCCAGAAACAAACCCACATTTGAGCTTCTGTTGTACAAGTATTCAATTCAATTTTATTTATAAAGCCCAATATCACAAATCACATTTTGCCTCAGAGGCTTTACAGCACACGACATCCCTCTGTCCTTTGGACCCTCACAGCGGATAAGGAAAAATCCCTCTTCCAGGACAGACAAACGAGCAATAGATGTCATACAGATTGTAATGTACAAATATTTTTTGGAGTGTTTTTCATGTACAGTTAATCATGCGCCAACCTAGTAGATTATCACAGATACATCCTTACCATGAGTTAAAAGAAAAGCAAATGTTTGAGGTAACTTAAAAGCAGTGTTGTCATTACAAGTTTCAATTCAACTTTAAATATCCCACAAATGTCGCGCTGCTTTGTCGGACAGCTACAAGTATAGAAACACATTTAAGGGATAGTTCTCAAACGTGTTTCTTTTTGGTATTCATTTATGCTAAAATAAGAAGATACATATATTTGTAGCACATTTTTAAACCCAAATAAAGATATTGTCTTTAAGCAGTGCTGGAATATACATTAACTCAAGTACTTGGGCTGGGCAATACATCAATATTATATCAATATCGTGATATGGGACTAGATATCTCAGATTTTGGATATCATACTATCATAAGTGTTGACTTTTTACTGGTTTTAAACGCTCTGTTATCATTACAATATTGACATTGAGACATTTGGACAAAAATATACAGGATATTTAAGTTTCTCCACATCACGCAGTCCGATCAAGTTCTGTACTTTTTTGAGACACTTGAGTAGCTAAACCTTATGGAACTTTATACTTCTATTGAACTACATTTCAGAGTAAAGTCTTGTACTGTTTACTCCACTACATTTATTTGACAGCTTTGGCTATTTTGCAGAGTCAGATTAATTAAAATACACAATCAACGAATAAATGATGATTTGTTATGACAGATATATTTGTTAGTATATATATATAGTACTTATAAATGGTTCCACCTTTACCAGCTGCAGCATTAATGATGCTTACATATTAAAACGTCACTAACTCTAATCCAATAATATGAGATTCTGAAATGGGCCATTCTGTAAAATGAGTACTTGTACTTTTTGTTCTTTACGTGTATTTTGTTGCTAAGACTTTTGAACTTTAGGTAAAAAAGTAACCATTTAAAGTCAGGGTTTTCATTTGTAACAGGGTGCTTTTACACATTGGTATTAAAATGGTTCTTCCACCACCGTACTTTAAAGGCCTTGACACACCAATCTCACATCACCATCTAAGCCAAAAAGTTGCACCTGAACACACCAAACCGACAGCCAAGAAGAATGTATGTTCTGTGCCTGCATGAGAGGAAATAACTCCAGCAGATGGCGGTCGTCTGTAATCGTCATTCAAAAAGGGAAACTGGAGGAACATCTTGATGCTAGTTAGCCAGCTAGCACATTAACAACACAATCCAGTGTTGAAAGAACAGAGCATATTTACCACACGCCAGTGAACAATAACACAAACCATCAGGAGGCGTTTCTGCTAAAGAGCTCAGTGGATAAAGAAAAATAATCTGACCTTATGGAACAACTTTGTTTTGGTCTCACTCCCTCTCGACCTTAGCTCTTTGTTTACATTCCTTACTTCCGTTTCTCTTTTCATGCACTGAGTTGAACTGTTGGTCAGAATGATTTAATTTCATCAACGATCTCTACTGTGCCAACGCCGAGTCAGCACACTGATTCGGTGGGAAAAATGCCGACAAGGTGTGTGGGACACACCGCACAGACGAGGGTGGCAGATGCTCACCAATGGCCCAACTTTGACTGAAGGCCAACCGTCGGCTTGGTGTGACAGGGCCTTTAAGATGATATCAGATTATAGAAGTATAGATTGAGTATGTGTCAGTACTAGGGATAGACCGATATGGATTTTTTAGGGCCGATGCCGATACCGATTTTTTTCCATCACCCTTAACCGATGACCGATTATGGACTGCCGATTTTCTTGAGCCGATATTTGGGGCCGATGCTGCTTTTGCTCCCTCAATTTACATCAAAAAAATGACACAATGATAACAAATATTACAGGTCTCAAGTTTAAAATAAGAAACATTTATTGAACAGTAAAAAATACTAAAACAAGATGGAAAGTTGAGGTAGAACAGGTAGAATATTATTATTATTATTATTATTATTATACATTCAAATAAAAAAGAGTTCAGTGCTCTTAAATCTTCCAGTAATGTCTTATATAAATAATAATAAATATAATAAATAAACAAATATTTAAGCTGAAGCATAAATAAAACAACAACTACTGTACACAGTAGGATTCAACAGCTTTGTTCAACTTAACCACATACTTTCAAATGATAAAAAGTGCCAGGGAAAAATAAATCTTCGTACCCACGCGCGTATTTGCCGATGCCGATACAAGTAAAAAACTCAAATATTGGCCCGATATATCGGCCGGCCGATGTATCGGTCTATCCTTAGTCAGTACCCAGCATGCTCAGCTTCAACATCAGCTTCTTCCTCTTTCATTGCTGGACTCTTTCACTCAGTCTAACATTACTCTGACACACAAACACATTGTTTGACTGGTTTGGGGTTTAAATTATTAATATTTTATCGTGTCTGAGGTCAAGTTTTAATATCTAAAAACCTCCTGTCTGCTCAGACAAAACGTCAAAACCCAGTTCTGACTGTCAGAGATGTTTCGGTCAAAAGGGGGGGCTGGGACATCATAAATAATAATATAAACACCATGCAGGTGTTTTTAGTTATTTTAGGCTCATAGCTCAAGTCATGTAGGACTCCATGTACCAGTAGATGAAGACTCAACAGAAGAAGTTTAATCCCCTGTGTGGGTGAACCATGTGTGTGCAGGATGGAAGCACAGTGCACAAATCACTGAGTTTGTGACTTTACAGGTTTGCACATGAGTGTGCATCTGCATCACTGCATCATGTATGCACACTTTGCATTTTGAGATCATGCACATCTGTTTGTGTGTGTATTGGAGTTTGACTGGTGTCGCTGTTTATAAAACTGCCACCCGTATTTGACTGAATCTAGCAGAATGTCCTGAATTTGACTCATCTGCAGTTTATCATCTGCATCAGGCAACATGCTGGATTTTTATTGAAGGCCTTATTTGGGCAAACAGTGCATCAGTCTGAAGCCAATGTACACACAGAATACTCACTCCTTGTTTGTGTGGATGTGTATGTGCACTCTGTTGTATAAAAGGCTGTGTATGAATGAGTGTAACGCTGTGACATCTCCCATCAGGACGGCTCCGGCTCTCTGAAGAGGAGCGGCTCCTTCAGTAAACTGCGAGCGTCGATCCGTCGCAGCAGCGAGAAGCTGGTCCGCAAGCTGAAAGGCGGCGGCTCGTCCCGAGACAGCGAGCCCAAAAACCCCGGGTAACTATCCCCACAGACACCTGACTGACGCAGGTGACAGGTGACTCTCACTTTATGCACTGGAGGCCTGGAGGAACGAGCCAGCCCTCCAGCCTGCCGCTCGGCTGGTTGGCGTACTAACCAAAAATGAAAGAAGGGATTTGCTCGACTTTGCTGGTGGTGAAGTAACTCTGAAGCTGTTTGCACATGAGATGATGGCGGGAGCTTTTTCTGGCACATTTATCCTTTTTTTCCCCATTACATTGGTTCACCTTTCTGTCCACACGCTGCCTCTGTACAGTTTCACACTTTCCTTCTTCATGGTTTGGTTGTCTGTGAGTTTAAGGGCCACTGTAGAAATAAACTTTAAATGGTGGTATTACTTTCAGAATACAGTTAGATTAATATTCAAAGATTTAAGACAAACTTTTGACAGGAAAAGCTTAATTTTGTGAGAACATGTCATAGCTTTTCTAAATAGTGAAAAAAAAGGTCGAGAGAAAAGTTGCAATATTTTAGGAAAAAGTTGCAGTATTACAAGAATATTTCAAGAAAAAGCTGCAATATTTTGAGAAAAAAATGCAATATTTTTAGAAGAAAGGGCACAATATGTCAAAAAGTTGTGGTATTTCGAGCAAAAAAAAAACCATAATATTTTGAGGAAAAAAATATGTAATATTTTGAGGGAAAAAGCTGTGATATGTCAAAAAAAAGTGAATATTTTAAGAGAGAAGGTGTAATATTTGAGGAAAAAGTCACAGTATTACAAGAATATTTCAAGAAAAAGCTGCAGTGTAATTTGGAGAAAAAAAAGCGCAATATGTTGCTAAAAAATGCTATATTTTTAGAAGAAAAGGCACAATATGTCATGAAAAAGTTGGTATTTTGAGCAAAAAAAAAATACATAATATTTTGAGAAAAAAGTTGAAATATTTTGAGGAAAAAAGCTGTGATATGTCAAACAAAAAGTTGTAATATTTCAAGAAAGAAGGTCTAATATTTGGAGAGAAAAAAAGTTGCAATATTTTGAGGATAAAAATGTCCAATATGCAGATTAAAAAAAAAGGACAATAGTTTGAGAACAAATTTGCAATAATTTGAGGAAAAACACTCTGATATGTCAAATGCAATGGTAAAATTTCGAGAAAAATGAATAATACTCCCCAAAAAGAGTTTAAATATCTCAAGAAAAACATCAGAAAGTGAGGAAAAACTTAAAAAATAAAACAGCTGCATTCCTAAAAAAATGCTTTATTTACAAAATCTTGTGCCTTTAATCTCAATTTTTTACTCTGTTACGACTTAATTTTTTGAATATTTCAGCTTTTGATTTTTATCCTCACAGTTGCCTTTATATTTCTTTGTAGTGACCGAACCTGAACATGATTACAGTAGAAACCAAAGGTAACTCTGACTGTACAATGAGCAGCACGTGCAGAACTGTTCTGATGAAATGGGAAAATAATGCAACTTGACTCACACGCTGTGACGGGCGACGTGTAGAAAAATCTGCAACGAGACACAAACTAATGTCTGCTTATGAAATGCCTTATGCTTGTTATGCCTGTGGAACTCATTTACCTTTTTATTTGTTTGTTTTAACCACTAATAGTTACTCCTATTTATTGCATTTTGTGGCTTTTGGACTATTTATTTCAATTCATGTTGAAATATAGTTCAGTTTTACTTTCTCTGGATTTATTATTTTCATTTTTTTTTTCTTTGTGAATGTTACTTTGGAAAACAGACTTGTCTGCATGGCTGTTTTTGTTGTTGACATTTTATTTATGAATAAATTGGTTCATTTGAATGTTTGAACTTGCATGCCTCATCTGTGTGCTCACTGGTTTCCATTCTTCTTCCTGTGCTGCTCTTCTCCATGGCTCCTAAAGAAGAAGATGATAATGATGTCACTGCCATCATCATCATCATCATCATCATTATGAGCAATCGGTGATGTTAAGTCACTGCAGACACGTCCATTTTAACAAGTCATGACGTTTGTCCCAGGTTTATATAGGTTATAGTAATAAAATAATAAACCTGGGACAAACAGGAAATACGAAATCCCAACACCACATGTATTCCCAGGAGTTTTCCCTAAAAAGGAAGTTACATCTTCCCCCCAGCACATGAAGCCAGTATGAGATGCTAATGAGGTATTTTAATTATTAAATATCTAAACATTAAAGTCAAATCAGGCAAGTCTGGCACCAAACTATTAACCAAAATGTTGCCTGGTTGCTTCACTTCATATGTGCACAAAAGATTCCCATCTGATGGTATCGTCACACTTACCAGAGGAAGCAGCAACTGTGGGCAGACCAGAGCAGTTTAGGGCGTCCTGAAGGAGATTCACCAACTGGTTGCATAGAAAGGAGTCATGTGATCTATAAGCTGACTCCCTTCCATCAATCAGGACCACTTTAGTCAAAGGACACTTTATTTCCATTTGCAGTATTATATTTGGCAGTATGGCTCTGTACTGGGGCCTCTGCCTTTCCTTGGCTTGCGCAGAAAGCATCTTCCATGCGCCTTTGTGGAAAGCCTAAAGCAGGGAGAGCAGCAGTAAAGACCCCAAAACGACCGTATCAGGCAAATGGGACATGGTACAGCTCCAGCCTCTCACCCAGAAGTGGTCACTTCTGGCTCCAAAAAAACCCCAAGATGGCCGAACTCGAGGCTTCAAAATGGGAGTCCGCAAACCAGGGGGTGATGTCATGGTAGCTTCATCCATTATTTTTAAACCATCTATGAATAAGGAGCGAGAAAAGCGAGATGGGTGTGACATGCAGCAGATTTTTTTTTTCTAATCCAGTTTTTAATCTTGAATTTGAATATGAAAAAATGCTTTTGGTGGATTTGTTTTTGAACGGCCATGAAACTTAGGTATTTACACATTTAAAGGAAAACAAATCAGATAGTTCCATCACATATTATTATTATATTGTGTAATGATTTAGTGCTGGATCACATTTCTTGTCAGGATGGACGTGTGTCTGCAGTGTGACTTCACTGAACTTAAGTTTTTTGTTTCCAGGCATGAATGTTGGCGTGTGCATGAACAGCTGATTGATAAAAAGAAGAATGTTGGTACCACTTTATAATAAGAAACATTTTACAGAGGGTTCGAGCTGTAAGAAATGACTTCAGTAATTGTTAATAAATAATTTAAAGATCAGTTATGTCAATAAGGGTCACATGTTTTTCACTTTATAATACAACAACAGCAAAACATAGTAAAAATTATCTATATTTATTAAAGTTACGACAAACTGCAAAAGTCAAACTGTCAGTCACATGATTGTGGTTTTATTGGATGAACCAAAGAGCTAAAATAAACATTAGTATGGGTTTCATATTAGAAAGTGGTGCCACAGTTTCATATTTAACTTTTTAAATTTCACAAACAGGATGAGAAGACGTTAAAAAGACAAATGAACTTTTATTTGAGACTAACCTTTGTGTGGAAATATCATGAATGTCATTAACCAACACAAACATTTCCATTGAGCTAAAATCCTCACAGCTGACTCTCCACCCCCCCTCACCTCTGACCTCTGACCCCCCCTCACCCCACCACCTCCCTGCATGTCACTGCTCTGGGTGCAGCATGAAGCGAGCCAGCTCTCTGGGGGTTCTTAACGTGACGGACAAGGCTGCGAGTGACCACTACCAAGTAAGGAGGCCGAGTGTCGGGAGTCCAAAAGTATCTGCTTTAACCCTGCTGGTGATCGGGAGGATAATAAATACCCTGTTAGTCAAAGGTCAATCTCTAAGAAACATCCCAATATGCCTCTATTGAAGCAGTGGTTTCCAACTGGTCCAGATTTCTCTGAAGGAGTTCGAGGTCCACACAGTTCATTACAATCAGTGTCATACTTGCTTTCGGCTGTGTCGTTGAGCTAGCTTCCTGTCTGCTAATTATTCACTCTACAGCAGGAAATTAATATGATGTCTTTCAATGTTTTATTGAGATTTATTGACCTATAATAGTCGCAGGAAGGAAGAAAAACAATTCAAGGTACAGTTAAAAGGGAGCTTAGTGTCATTAATGACGAAAAAGTTTTATGTTACTGTTTTTTGCTAAAAATAAATATTATCAGATAATCCATGAGATATTGATAACCGTTTTTCCAACCAGGTGATTATTTATCAAGCAAAAATGCAAAATATTCTCTTGTTCAAGCTTTTCAAATATGCTATACTCTATTATATATGATTGTAAACTGAACATCAATTGTGGGTGGCTTTTTTTGTATTTTCTGACATTTTTTGACTAAATTTCATTTATTTTATTTTATTTTAGTTATTTATTTATAAAGAAAGGAATTAAAAGTAACATTGTGTGTTACAGTTAAAACTGTCCTGACTCAGTTGAAAATGCTTTTCAGCGGGTTCGTCAAAGGGTCCAATCCAGCCCACTAGATGACTAGACTAAGGGTGCTTTCACACCTGCCCTGTTTGGTTTGGCTCAGTCAAACTCAAGTTCATTTGCCCCCTCAGTGCGGTTCGTCTTGGCAGGTGTAAACCAAAACAACCGGACTGAGACCTTCTTGAAGAGGTGGTCTTGGTCTGTTTACAAAGGAACTCTGGTGCGGTTGGTTTGTGGTGAGAATGTGTTCCGACCTGGATGTGAAGCAACTGCAGTCACATGACACATTGTTTGGGATAAACATGAGCATGTTACAGTCCTGGAGGATTATTAATGTGCACCTCCTCCTGTACTGCCTTAATATGCACATTCAGCACATCCAATGCATCAAACCATTGTTTTCTAGTTGGAGCCGCGCCTCGTTTTCAAACTGTATGGTTTGACTAAAATGATCAATGACAGCAATATAGTCCACGATGAGCAGCGCTACAATCAACCTGCGTAGTTGTCCCTCCATTGTGACATTAGAAAGTGTCACATTTATCTTGCAAGTGTACTCTTCTTCAACGTTTGCTTTACTTCCTGGATTTTTCCCACATGGAAATTCTGACCAATCAAATACCAAAAGGGTTAAAAAAGCCATAAAGAAGTTTTTGCAGATACTTTTCGACCCGCTCTTTCCTTTTACACTCTCTCTCTCAGTCTCTATCATGTCGTTATAAACTGTGTCACACAAGGATCTGCTGATGTGTTTCTGTGGCCGAGTCGCATTATTTGTCACTAATGACACAACATGAGTGTGACTCACACACTAACTTCACACCGTCATTATTTTGACTAATCAACATGAATCATTAACAGGAAGAATGTTTTTTATTTCTTATTTGTTCTCAAGAGGAAAATGACACTGAGATGTAATTTATATATAATTAGATAAAAAAAATTCACAGTTACCTGAATATAAAATGTCTTTTAGATAATGTTAGTCAACATGAAAAATAAGCTTTCACCACAGAGCTGAATAAATTATAATTTGAAAGGTATGTTTCATATCCAGTGGAAAGTACATTTACTCATGTGTGGTCCTTACAGGGTTGAGGTAAATGTACGCTACTTAAGTATTTCCATTTTCGCCTACATTATACTTTTACACCACGACATCTCAGAGGGAAATATTGTAGGTCTTACTGCACTACATTTAGTTATTTATTTATATTTAGTTTCTGTGAAAATTCTGATTTAGTTTTTAAAAAGTTGAAAAGTTACGTCAATCTAATTTCCTTTTTACTACATTTTTCCCCTCCAGGAACGAAATAATCGTCTGAGGAAAAGTCGCGACCTGAGCGCCAGCCACACCAACCTGGCGCGTTGACGGTTTTCGACCCTGGAAGAGGTGATGGACTGAGCCTGAGAGGTCACTTCCTGTCCATGAACCTCCTCACTGTAAACAGCCTCCCACATTCAACTTCACACCACCAAGTGCTCACTGTACAGGGTTCAATGTTTCATTGCACTTTCTGAAGGTTTGTGGTGTTTTACGTTTTTTTAAATCAACACACATCGAGGAACAAGAGGAAGACGAACACACACTGACCTGCTGTGTGTCTGAGTGTGTGTATCCTTATCTGTATGTGCGTGTACTGTATGTACTATATGTAAGTGTGTGGCTGGTGTGAGTGGTTGCCTTTCTTAATATTTAATGCTCTCGCTTGAATGAAGGCAGACGCAGAGTGGAGCTTTAGTTTTACAAACATTTCTGTAACTAAAACTGCTGCAGTTAAACTGTGGAGTGTGAAGCCAAAGAACTGCAGAGCTCAAGTTCACAAACACAAAGACTAAACCGACATAAAAAACCTGCTGCAAACCACACGTTAAAGAGTCCAAACATCTCTGAATGAATCAATGAGCGAAATAAATTAATCTAGATCATGTGTTACTGATACTTTTACCTACCTACAGGTACGGGAAGGTAAACTTGAATGTCTCTGAGGGGCAATTTGAGCTAAAGACAGTAGTCATTTGTTTTTTCAACTAGCTATCATGCTAGCTATGTTAGCTAACACTGTCATGAAGCCTTTGATCATAACAGAATATAGGAACTTTCACCATTACTCGTTACAGAAAGACCACCGAGAAAACATGTTCTTTGTTTAGATTATTAACAGGACAATGGATAATAAGTGTCTGTTTCTGCTCCCAGCACGAGCTAGCTTAGCTAGTGGGCTAACATTAGCGAGCCTTCATTTTCCCAGGGTCGGGCCTGCCGGCAGACAGAATTGCATCACGAAAACAAGGTTTATTGGGAACTAATCTAAACACAAATAATAACACAACAAAAAAGTGTTTTTTGTGGCGTCCTTTCTAAAATGAACAGTGGTTGAAATTACCACATTCTGTTAGGATCAAGGAGTTGATGACAAGCAAACAACGTTAGCTAGCACATATCTGTCGCCAGTCTGACCTGACGTTGTTATTTTTTATTATATTACTGACATTTTGAACATAATACAGCAGCACAGACCAAACTGAGGCTATAGTAAGCCTACATTAAAATTAAAGAAGTAACTTGAGTATATTTGACAGCAGAACAGAGTGCTGCAGGACATTTTGCTAAAGTTAGCACCACCCTGGTTCCTTCGTCAAAAAGCCGATGGGATATTTCCACTGGATTTTGGATTATTGTAGAAAATAAGCTCTGTTGTTTAAACATTTATTACGCATTGCACCTGAGTACAATACAAAACACAGACACACAGTATCCAGTACAACACTGTCAGAGGTCAATCATGGACATTAAGGGTCAGTGCTGGTTAAGATAAGCGATAGACGGGACTAAGGACGATCTGTAACGCTTTGTGCTGCATTTAGGGAGGCAAAACCTCCGCCCTGATGGAAGCATCTGAAACCCAACACGGAGGGGATGTTGACCGAGTTTTAGAGGTGACCCTCTCTTCATACAGATGTAGGTTACTAAAAGTAACACCTGAGATCTTACAGCACAGCTTAACAACTTCTTCCAACTTGTTGTTCTTGTTTAAAGGCTCAGATTACCAAACCAACAGACAATGAACGAGCACGATAAAAGCAGAATAGAACATTTTCATGATCGTCCTATCTACATCGAAACTCCTCAGCTTCCTTAAGAGGAATAGACGTTGGTTTGCCTTCTTAGGGCCTTTTCATAGTCGACACAAAGGGACGCATCAAGACGCATTGGCCGACCTGATGCGTGCTTGCGTCTCAAAATGTGTTGTCCATTTTTTTGATACACGACACAGTGATGTGTGTAATACCATGCGTTGCCAGCAGGGGTGATAATGCAAGTGGCGTACTTGAAATTGACCACTTTTTGTTATTCACAGAAGAAGCAGGTATGAAGTATGGCGGGCGAGGAGGAAAAACTTTGCAAACTCAGACGGGCATACCCCATTTATATGACAGTTCTAGTGCCCTGTACTCTAATAAAATAGCAGTACTAGCTAGCTACAGCAGTAGCTAGCCGGAATGTACCGGTGACGCTGCTACCCCCTATTGCATGAGCGATGTATTGCATTTCAAGTGTCGTCCGCATCGCTTGCGTTCAGTGTGTTGACTATGAAAGGAAGTGCTTTGCTTGTGACGCTTGCTCGCGTTGCGTGCGTCGACTATGAAACGGCCCTTACAGATGTCGTCAGTGTTCACGTCAAAATTAAATTTGTCATCTAAGACAGTGCCCAGACACTTGTACTGCTGACACCAGCTTTCCCGTGATCACACAAGGAGCAGGAATACCAATTGACAAATTCATCCAGTACTGGACCATGATCATATTCTGATCCATGAAGAAGACTCACAATAACAGAGTCTTCTGCGTACTTTAGGACTAATCTTGATGCATGATTACTCTGATATTCATTCGTGTACAAACAAAAAAGGATAAGAAAGGACACATCCCTGAGGGAATCCAGTGGAAGAAAAACGAGTCCTGGACATTATCCTGTTAACCCAGACCCTCTGAGACCTGTTCACCACTTTGGCTTCATGCTCTGAGGTTTAACTGGAGCAACAGGAGAAACTTCTGCTTCTCAGAAAATGTTTTTAACAACTAAAACTGCAGCAACTCTGCAGAGAAACCGTCCAGCAATGACGTCTTTATGTAGGCCGACCCGGACGTTAGCTTAGCTCATGCATTCACTCTGCAGACTCCCAGTGGAGGCTCTGAACTGGGTTTTTGGATTAATTGAGAAAATAAGATCTGTGGCAAAATAATATTTATGACGTTCACACAAGAAAATCCTCACAAATATTTTAACCACAGTGTAAGACCTTATTTTCTGCATTAATTAACCCTTTAAGTTAAAACCATTGGAAACGTGTGGAGTGAACCCTCATCTCTTTAAGACTTGTTTCCTAAAATGCTCCATCCTGTGCTGATTGCAGATTTTTTGCTTGTGATGAAGTTTTATGTTTACATTTGGATTTTTTTTTGTAAATGATGTTTTATTTGTTTCTGTCCTCTTGCTGCTCCGAAGAGTTCCTTTTTATATCTTCCTGTAAAAAGCCTGGAGAATAGCCGCACTGTCTTCCGAAATGTTGAGGTTGAGGCAGGACGACAACATTTTATTGGCACATGAAGGCCGACCGACGCACTCTCAGGATCGAGGCTATAGTTTCACACACTGACTGCAAAGTTAAAGCCACTCCACACTTCTATTAGCGGAGAGACGTTACAGCATTTATTTTTACTTCCAGATATATTAGTGGTTATTCAAGACAACACTTTACCACGTGAGTAAAGTCGAGCCAATCCAACCAAAAACTGCAAATACTGAATTATTTAAGAAACACTTATTATGCAAGAGTTATTCCAGAGATTTAAGGTGCAAATGTTAAGATATATATTTGCTATTACCAAAATAAGAGGGAGTATTCCTCCTACAGATAGTTCTATAACTAGTAAAATATAGATTTATGTCAACAGCGTTTTACTTTGATAAAAACTAATATGAATAACTGGAATCAATTGATGGATGGAAACGTGTGTCCACACTCTGCTGGATCAAAACCCAGATAACAAAGTTGATTCTACATCACACAAATCAAACTTCAAACATGAATTAACACTTCAAACTTTCATATAAAATAAAGAAAAGATGCAAATCCTCATGACAGAAAAGCTGAAAGTGGTTTAAGTTTAAAAATATGTAAATATCTGACCAGACAGTCGATGCTAGCTTCTGGTATCTGACAGTTTTCTATCTTTACCAAACAATGTGTCAAGGTTCAATGCCCACAACCCAATTGCAAGGATAAATATTGGCAGCATATGTTTCTGCAAACAGGATACATTACACACACAATGCTGTCGTTGAAGTTTGGTTTAAAAAAAACACTTCATTATGTTTACGAAAAGATCATGTTTTGGCTTAAAATCAGCAGTTTTAGGGGCACGATCTCGGCGGGAAATGCAGCAATATCTTTGGAAAATAAAAGCTTTTTGTGGTCACTATCCTGGCTCGATATGCAGAGATGTCTCTTTAAAAAAAGAGCTGCTTTTGGTGGCACAATCCTCGATGAAATCACAACGACCGGTCGATAAAGACAACCTTGTTTGGTGGCCAAAAAATAAAAATAGCAGCTGGAAACGCAGCGATGTCTCAGTAAGAAACAACCGCTTTTGGTGGCGCTATCTTCCCTGACGGGTTAATAGAAGCAACCACATTTGGCAGGCGTCTCGACTTTGTGTCGCGCCATCGACCATCCATTCCACCTCCTGATGACGAAGCTGGCTTATATCTATATGTCACTTAAGAAAACACTGATATATGTACAAGTATGATGTGTCCTTGGTTTGCAGAAACGTATATACCAACATGTTCCTCTGGTGACTGAGCCCAATTGGGTTTAAAATCTCATCCACTTGAAAAGGAGTCTCCAAGTGTTCCAAAAGCATAAACTGCATTTAAGTCTAAATTCTTTAGTAAACCCAGTTTAAACAACCAGCAGTGACGCATTTGCACTGGAAATATTGGACTTATCATACTGACTTCACTGCATTATGAACTGTTTGCTTTTATGTTATTGGAGAAGTACATGAACCTTTAGTTTTTTTGGCAGGGGTGTGCAATAAGCTTTTGTTTGATGTTACCCTCCTGTGTTTGAAAAACTCTTCTGATTTGTAATGAAAATTACAAATAATGAAAATTCATCAGCATCTGAATTTAAATGAAGGCTTTGATTCCAAAAATTACAAATTTAAATCCCCCTTTTCTTCTTTTTAGATGAAATCCTGAAATGTAAATATAGAAGCTGACTAGATTTGACAACTTGAATAAATATTCATGGTCGTTTTTTTTTTTTGTCTTCCGTGCCGGCAATAATTTCGTCACAGTGATTTTTAAATGTTACATATCTCATGTTTGGAATTGCGTCCTTGTTTACTTTCTTTATACTGATGATTATGTTGACGCTGTTTGACGTTACAGAGTCGAGTGTGTTGAAGCTTCTTGTCGACTGTTGATCAGTCTTTTGTTGTCTTAGTGTTCGAGGCTCCGCAAAGTAACGAGGCACATAACTTAACCATGTCTGATGGTTTCGATGGACTGGGCAACATTTTGGGCAACATTAGCAACACCTCCAGCAACTGGCAACGAAGTGACAGTGTTGTTCAGGAGTTACATTAACGTGGCATTTAATGTTTTAAAGCTCTGAATGTAGTCTACACAAAAATAAATGAAAAAATATGGAAGCACAGAAAGGCCAAAATTATGATTGAATTTAATCTTCTGAATCTGAATTTATCTGGTTTAAAGTTTCCTCTAAAACTTGTGAGAAGGTCATTTTAAGTTTCAACATTTCACAAACTGAAACTGAACAACATAACCTGATGTTGAACTTTGCCTGGTTGTTCAAGTTTTAATTTATCATCTTGATCTTTTTTGGCTGGTTTTAAATCAGAAAGTGATGAGTTGAAATTAAGCAACTTGAATATAGTTTCTGATTAATATTTGGACATAATTTTATATATATGAATTTGTGAGTTGAGTCATATTTTTAAGTTGCACCACTTGAAATTACCTTCCTGAAAATGTTAATGTGGAAAATTAAAACCACATATGTTAATATACATGATTATAAATATATAGCCTACAAAATGTGTTTTACAGAATAAAATATATTTAAACGCTTTAAATTGAGTTGTATTTACATTTACACAATAAATATTAGTGTTGACTAAACGTCAAAACTACTGCGTTGCTTAAAATATTTAAATCCTTTTGGACTTTTTTTGCTTCCATACTTATGTGATGAGATTTACAATTTGGGGCAAAAATTTTATATATACTACATTTTAGTAACGATTCAAAAACATTTTACACTTAATTTCCTCTTAGCTTGTAGTTGTTTCGATTAATCAAAAATGTCTTTTTTCTTGTCTTTGTGAGTCACAGTTACAGAAACAATGTTGCCCAGTGTTGGGTCAAAGTTGTTCAAACTGTTGCCCCGTTGCAGAGAACTTCACATCTGTCCTGAAACTATGACTTCTGATCAGTTTTCAATACACAACATTTATCTCTGAGTGGTGATTATCATGACGTGAATGTAAATTTATGGATTTATGGAAGCGCAGGCAACAATGAAAAGTTGTTTTTTTTTTAATGAGTGTTTGATGTTAAAGCAGTGAAGGTAAAAGTCTCACAGTCCGTGCTTTTGTTGCAGGCTTTTATTTCCTCGTGTTAATTTTACTTGTGCGTTTCTCCTCCCTGTCTGTGGACCGTGTTGTTGTGTGGTGTCTGATGTGAAGGGATAGATAATGTAAAGGCTCAGGTTGGGACAGAAATGGTTTTATATTTCTTTATATTAAAAGGTAAAAAAAGGTGACATATGACCTCTAACACCATCAGAGCTCAGTGGAAACTGCAGCAATATTAATTACACTTTGCACTGAGAACAAGGTTGTTGATGGATAAAACAAAGTTTGGCGCAGAAAGATTTTGAAAGTCAGACAACATGAGCAGGTTGTCAAGTCATAACTGTTAATTATTTTCAATCTACTGATTATTTTCTTGAATTAATCAAGACCACATCCACACCCATACTGTCACACTGGCATTTAACCTGCCTGGTTACCATGGCAATGTGCTGGCTTGCAACCCCTTTCTTCATGTGTCGCTCCACACAGCGACCTCCGGCCTCCTGAATCTAAATTTTTACGGGCACAATAATTAAAAACCAGATTGAATGTCGAGTTTTCCTCCATTGTTTGTTTTGTTTTGTGTGTGTGTAAGATGAATGATGCTTCCTGTGAGGCGGCATCGCAGTCCTCCATGTTTGATATGACACAGAAACGTCCCCTCTGTATGTACAGAATCTGCTCCTGGATGAAACTGGCATCATGCTATAACGTGTCCTCGCAGACATGTTGTTGTGTTGACAGCACATTCCTCTTATTGTGGTGTTGGTAGAGAGTAATAATAATATAACATACAGAACTATGAATTGTTTTTTACTCTCTAATCACACTGTGATTGTGGGGACGTGTGTCTGCAACTGATGCTCTATATGCACCCTCTGTATTTGAATAAAACTGTCAAACTCATTCATGTTTGTTCTGTGATTTTTAAAATCCAATCTGATCCATGCACTTTACTAAAGCACAACAATTCTGAGGTACTTGTACTTATGGTACTTTATATTTCTAGTCTACAACATTTTTAAGCTCTGAATGTAGTTCACACAAACGTAAATGAAGAGCAGCCTGTATGGAAGCACAGAAAGTCCAAAAATATAATTTAATTATGTCACTTGAATCTGAATTTATCTGGTTAAATTTTCCTCTAAAAATTATACAAAGACAATTTTAAGTTTCAACATTTCAGAATTTTTTTCGGTTAAACTGACACAACATTACCTGATGCTGAACTCAGCCTGGTTGTGAAAGTTTTAATTTATCATCTTTAATTCTTGGTCCTTTTTTTTTGGCTGTATTTTTTTAATCAGAAAATGATAATGATGATTTTTATGTATCTGCATTTGTGTTTAAATTCATGTTTTTAAAGTTTCACAACTTGAGATTACCTTCACGAAAATCTTACAGTGAAAAATTCAAACCACAAAAGTTCATATACATGATCATAAATATATATAGGGCCTAAAAACAAGTATAAACAAAATAAAATATGTTTAAGCACAATAAAATTAGTGGTATTTGCATTTCCATGATAAATATTCAGTGTTTTCTAAAGCCTTGTTGACACGGATACCGATACAAATAAAAACGGATTTTTATCTATCACGTATAAAAAAAAAAATAATCTGGGTTTACACGATCAGTTGTGAAAACCATATCCGTTTACAAGAAAACGCAGAAACGGCAGCTTTTTGCTGCAATAAGCATGCCAGGCCAGTAGGTGGCATACGCCATATGTCAAACACCATAGCAGAACGTTCTGCGCATGCACAGTGATTTGTTTTCCTCTTGGCGCTCGTGATAAAACAATGATAAACTACAGTTTAACCTCATGTAGCATAGTTAGCTGCTATGCACTTACTAATATTGGGCACAGCAGACGTCTTTGTGCTCCAATGTAGCGGTGATGTTGATGCAGCAGTGCTAAGTTCATTTGTAAGCTCATAAGTAGTCCCAAAAGTGCGAACACAACGGCATATATCCGCCATTGTTGTTGTGGTTCCTGGGCGCCTATTGGGCATGCACCAGCTAGGGTGCAACGTCGTCGTTTTCCAAAATCTCCGTCTGTCCTGTTTACATGTCTCCATAGCAACGGATATTTTTAAAAACTTTCACTTTGGTTTTTGAAAATCTCTGTTTTTGTCGAGGAAAACGCCACTTACGTGTAAATGATAGGCGCAAACGCAAAGATAAATACTCGTTTTCAGAAATATACGAAACCGTATAAACAGGCCCTGAATTTCACAATTACTAAATCCTTTTTGGCCTCTTTTTGCTTCCGTACTTATGTGATGCAGTTTACTGTTTGGGGCAAAATGCATGACAGAAAGCTGCCATCATAAATAACAAAACACACATATAAAAACATACAAATCATGTACCCACAATAGTTAGCACTACCACTAGCATTCGGGCTAATTAGCCAAAATAAAAATACTATCCATTAGAGGCACCACTGTCTATTTATCTGACCTAAAAAAATGTATAGTGGATACATAATGTATGATGTCCACTTAACTCGACAATAGATAATTTTGTAATTATTTATATGTATGTGGGATATATAATGTGTACATGCTGTTATTTTCCCCTATTTCCCCTAAAGCTTTTATTATTATTATTATCATAATATTATTATTAGCTTACATAGATCATATAGACGCATCAGTATTAAACTGAGATTGTTTAATAAACTCTTAGTGTGTGCTTTAATGTCCTCCCTCCTGCAGCAGAGTTGTAAAAACCAAAACAGTCCACTGAACCCGACTCACCACGTGACATCAACTCTGTGCTCTGATTCGTTGAACCTGTCAGTCATTCTATGAGGGCGTGTCCCGGGAGGAGCTCTCTGATTGGTTAAAGACCCTGTCAATCATCGACAGAGGGCGTGTCCCTACAGGAGCTGGTGCCAGAAGGAGTCTGTGCTGCATCGAGAGGAGAAACAGCCGCTAACAGAAACATGTCCGCGGTGCCTGACGGAAAGAAACTCGTCCGGAGCCCCAGCGGCCTTCGCATGGTGCCTGAAAATGGCGCCTTTAACAGCCCGTTCTCCCTGGACGAGCCGCAGTGGGTCCCGGATAAAGAGGTGAGACGAGGCGGGGAGGATTTGTTTGACAGCGTGAAGCTAGCTAGGAGTTTAACACGGCAGTTCCGGTCGGGATTTTCAAAATAAAGGCGGTGTTTGCGAGCTCAGCAGCATTGGCAGCACAATAAGTCACATTATGAACGATAATTGTTTATTTTGTATTATTATAAATGCACCTAAGACTAAACTTAAGTTGTTTTTTAGCAATGAAAAGAAATATAATTAAACACAGTTACTCATGTAGGCTGCTGGATTTCAGCTTAGTCTTGAGGTACTTTATTATTTTCATCCTCTGCTACTTTATACTTCTACTCCAGTTTACTTAGAGGCAATTAATGTCGTTTTTAATCATGATCAGCTCATGCTCAGTGGCCTGGGTGGCTTGATTTAACAACAACACATCATTATTTATGAGTTGATTATAGAAATATTGAGAGATAGATAGATGCACTTTATTGTCTGTCCCAACAGTGACTCAGGCTCAACAATTCACACGATTCAATTCAAATTTAAAGACATTTAAATCAAATAAAAAAGGAGATTGTTAAAATATCAAAACAGGTTAAAGTGTATTGTCTGTATTTTGTATTAATAATACAAATCTGCAAAGTAACTGGAACTGAAATCTATGTAGAGGAGCAACATGAAAACTATTTGCCTCCGAAATGTTGTAGAGAAACAGTGGACAAAATGGTATCACGCAGGTAAAGTACATGTACCTCATAACAGTACTAAAGTGCAGCACTTGACTAAATGTATACAGTAGTAGTCAAAAACTAAAAGTAGCAAAACTGAAGTGAAAAATATTCAGTTTCTAACAACAGTCCTGCTTGCACAGCTTTACATTAAAGGGGAGCACGACCTAAATTAAGACTTCCAATATGTTATTTCCTCGGCCTTGGAAAGTTAAGTCAATATTTGAGAACATGAGCTGCTCTCTCTCAGAGCCAGAAACCAAAGTCTCAAACTTATGATGTCATTGGGTATAAAGTCTGGAGCTGCCACACAGGCAATAAATGGGGGAATTTTGGAGTGTTGAGAGTTGAAAAATGTTCATCTTTGGGTATGAATGCCACGCTCGTCACTGTTACCTCAGCCATTCAATCACAGTCAAGACAAACCATCACAACTAATATGTACAAGTGCTGAACAATGATAGCACTGGAGGAGAAATCTGTTAACACACTGTGTATATATTATGTTTCCTCTCATGAAACCACACAGACCAGCGGGTCCGTCATCTCTCCCTACATGCGTCACCTTTCTCCTCATCCAAAGCGAGTACTCTGCCTTGTGTCAGCATGTTTACATCTGTGGATATTCCATATCATAGCAACCAGAAAAAAATTCTGTCTGAAATGCTCCCAGCTGGGCGTATCCTGCCGAGCACCGGGTGTTTTCAGCTGGAAAAATGACATCACAAATTAGAATTTTAGCACTCTGGCTTGTGAATTTGAAAAAAGAGTTGTTCACTTTTACTAGTATTTTTAGACTCTTAGACCATAGGAATAACATGTTTCAAATTTTGGGGCATAGTACCTCTTTAAGTACTGTACTTAAGTACAATTTTTGGGTACTTTCCTCGAGTATTTTCTGCTTTCTGCTATTTTATGCTTCCACTTATTGTTCACCCCATATCATGAAGTTGGCCTCAGTGGTCTGTTTTGCTTGATTTATGATAATAATAATTATAATGATGACAATATGAATATGCAAAATAACTTAAATAAATCTGTAGTAGAGTAAAATGTACAGTGATTGTCTCTGACATGTTGCACAGTAGGATATAAAGTGGCAGATTGTACCTCATAGTTATGCTTAAGTACAGTACTTGAGTCAATGTACTAAGTTGTGGTGAAAAAGTAAAAGTAGCATCAGCTCTCACAGCTTAACTGAAGTAAAAGTACAAAAGTATTAGCATGTAACTGAATATAGGCCACTTAGAGTATCAAAAGTAAAAGTACTTATTGTGCAGAATGGCCCTATTCAGAATAATCTACATTATAATAGTGGATTATAGTTATTGGTGCTTACATGTATTTGTTAATGATGCAACTGGAAAAGAAAGTGGAGCTAATTTTAATAGGGAAGCTCAATAATACGGTATTGGCCGATATCGGCTTTAAAATGAACTATTAATCAGCTAATATGCTTTTTTTAAATTTTTGCACAATTAATTTATATTACACACACTAAAAAGTATTGTATTTCATGTCTCCATTCGCTGGTGGACCATAATAATAAGAGTATGCTGCTTAATATGATGTTAATTTCACGACAGAAGAGAGTTGATGATCACTAAAATTAGGTGGGGTAAAGGAGTTGTTACATATCAGCCAAAAATCCAATATTGTGCATTACTGAATTTTAATTATGTTATTAATTTTATACATCATTTATTAGCTGATAACATTTTAAATCAATAATCGAATCAATAACTAAAATTTAAACCAGTGTAGTGGAGTAAAAGTACATTAATCACCTCTGAAATGCTGGTTTATTGCCATGAATGTTTTCACATATAGGGAATCTGCTTTGGTGTGCTGGTGCATGGATAAGCGACAAAAAAAATGTAGAAGCAAAAAATACATATTGTACAAACACAAACAACACAACAACAAAAAATAGTGAGGCTACATATCAAGGTGTTGCGAGTGAAACGCTTTTATTTTGTAAAGCCTCCGAACATCCGGTCTCCTCCATGCTAGCTGCGGCTAACTGAACGCAGCTGGACATCGCAGTTGGCCCCGGGACTGGGCGTTTCACGACCAGCCTGGCAGCTAACACGCTTAGCCTGTCAGATAACCAGCTAGTTAATTGTTAAAACTAGCAGCCAGACTCTGTCATGATGTCATATCTTCACTGGAGTTAGTTAAAGTGAGAAAACATCGGTAGTTGTGTCTGTTAGCTAACAGCCACGTCCGCACGTAGCCTGCCATGTTGCAGCTAGCAGCTGTGTTAGCTCCGCAGTCAGTAGCTGTCTGTCTGTTTGTGTCACGGTGCTGTAAAACTACAGGAGGAGGCACACAGAGCTGTCTGTGTCCAACAGAGGCACTTTGACCAGGCTGACACTGAAATACAGCCAGCAGAGTTAATCATTTCTCTGCTGCTGCTTTCCTTGCACAAGATTAATCTGTAAGCAGTGGTCAAGAGGAACATGCATGGGTTTAATGAGGTTTAATGTGTTAGAATAAACATTTAAGTCCTTTACTGAAGCAGGAGCAGCAGTATATTAATGCAGAAACACTTTGTTGCAAGTAAAAGTTTTGCATTTAGAATATTATTTGAGCAAAACAAAAGGCTGTAAAGTACTTTTCCTACGGCATAAATCTCTAAAGTTTAGGGGCTGGTTGCACAAAACACCTTAAGTTTGTTCCTTAAGTATGACACTAAAGGCTTACATGAAATACCTCATCAATAACTGACTGGAAAGATTCCGTTGCATAAAACCCACAGAGCAATTATTAGTTGTAAAGGGACTGCAGCTTTGGAAAGTTGAGCAATCCTCAGTCATAAATCGACTTGGTGAAATTTATAGCAGGAAATCATGTGTTCGTCATTAAGTGTGTCCATCTGTGTGTTCTCCCGGTCACAGAACACTCTTCTCTGGAAGCCTTATTGTTTTTCATTATCCTCTGTAAGCTCAGCCATGTTGCAGTTAAGATGGAGTCAGCGGAACCTTTGTTTGTGTCCTTACTTTGGGTACTAAGGTCTGACGGTTTAACGATTCTTTTAATCAATAGATGCACTAATCCTTAAGGCTGTAAAATGTATGTTAACGTAAGCAGTTTTTGTTTTGTTAGCTCTTATTGCTTTTAAAATTGTTTTAAGTGGAAAAAAAGTGAAGTGAAAAATACATTTAAGTGACAAAAGAACTTTAAGTAATCCTTTAAGTAAAAGATTCCAATAATGAGAAAAACTTAAATTGTTAAGTAAGCATTTTAAGGAAATCTGAAGGAGAAGATTTAAGGATGTTTTGTGCAGCTGATTTTTTTTTTCCCCAAAGAAACCTTAATTTGGACTTTAAGGACAATCTTATCTTAAGGTGTTTTACGCACCTGGCCCAGATCCAAGACTGAGGAACTGTGTATGAGTTCAGTTCTTTTGTGTCCTGCATGGGGGATTTAGCTTTCAGCAGCATGTGAATAACAAGTCAAAATATACATTAAAAACCTGTAGAGGAGAAGTAGCAACGAAATATTTAAAAAAAAAATTATAGCGAAAGGGGAACAAATAAAAACACATGCAGAACTTTAACATTTAGTTTAATCACCAGAATAATCTTTAACTACTCTGGTAGTGAATTTAAATCATTTCATAAGCAAAAGTGCCACAACTTATGGTTTTAACTTTTCAAATGTAAATATTTAATGTTGTTTTTTAGTCATCTGTGATATATAAGAGGTCAGAACATGGAAAAACACTTAAACGTAAGTAGAAATTCCTGCATTCAGTACATTACTTAAGTAAAACAGTCTCAGATTTTCCTAAAAAAAAAAAAAAAAAAAGACTGTAAATTACTTTTTGTCCCTGCACCCTACCTCTTTATATTTCTGAATTAAAACTGAATATGTTTGTATGTTTCAGTTCAGTCTTTTTTTGTCCTGCATGGGTAGGACATTTGGGAATTTTGCTCACAGCAGCATGCGAAAACAAAACATAACACCAGAGAAAAGCAGTATAAATGAACCTACAATAGTAATAAAAACAGTATGAGTTGTCTGTGAGCAAACAAAAAGTAAAAACATAGAGAGCTGAGGCAGTTAGTTTAGGATTAACTGATTTGTGAAGCCACAGAAATTAATTCTGCAGCTATTGTGACATGAATTTCAATCATTTTGTGAAGAAAAGTGACAAAAATAAACAGTCTTGTCTTTTCAAATGTTAGTTTTTTAGTCCCCTGTGATGTATAAGTATTATTATTCCATGTTAGTAGTATTTATGTCCTTCACAGAAGTAAAAATAGCTATACCAACATGGAGAAACACGTAACATACATAAAATTCCTGTATTGACAATATTAATAAGCTGAAAAAGGCTGTAAAATTTTTTCTTACGCATTATATTTCTGATCTAAAAGTGAAGGCTTGTGTCTGTTTTATTTGATTCTAGTTCATTACAGTCGTGAATGGGAAATTTGGCTTGCAGCACTTCAAAAACTCGTCAAAACAGACCGAAAAATGAGCTGGTTTTGACCTCTCGAATATTAATATTTGCTGTTCTTTTAATCTTCTGTGATATAGGATTAGTTAGAAAAGTAACAGAAGAAGCATTCATATCCTTTACAGAAGTACAGGTGGCCATACTATTATGGAAAAAAGCTTAAACACAAGTAGAAGTCCTCCATTGATAATATTCGGGAAGGTAAACATGGCTAAAAAAGCCTTTAAAGAAGTTTCTCCCGCATCATATTTCCTTTTCTGTTCGAAAAGTGAAGCTTTGTGTCTGTTTTAATTGATTTCAGTTCATTATTGTCGTGCATGAGAAATTTGGCTTGCTGCACGTCAAAAACACATCAAAACAGACTGAAAGAGCCAAAAATGAACTGGTTTTCGCTTCTCAAATTAGAGTATTCGTTGTTGTTGTTTTAAGTCCTCTGTGATATATATTGGGTTACAAAAGTGTTAGATGAAGAATTCAAGTCCTTTACAGAAGTAAAACTAGACATAATATTATGGAAAAACACTTAAACACAAGTTAAAGTCCTGCATTACAGTTTTAGTAAAGTAAAACATGGCTAAAAAGCCTTTTTAAAGAAGTTTTTTCTGCATCATATTTCCTTATATTTCTGTTCGAAAAGTGAAGCTTTCTGTCTGTCTTAATTGATTTCAGTTCATTATTGTTGTGAATGGGAAATTTGGCTTGCAGCACGTCAAAAACACGTCAAAACAGACTTGAATAGCCAAAAAATGAACTGGTTTTCACTTCTCAAATGTTGTTTTTTTGGTCCTCTGTGATATATTATTAGTTTGAAAACTGTTTCAAGAATCACTCAAGTCCTTAACAGAAGTAAAAGTAGCTATAACAACATGGAAAAACACTTGGATTTCAGTAAAACTCCTGAATTTACTTTATTTGTAGCGTAAAACACGACTAAAGAGGCTGTAGAGAACGTTCTTATGCATTATACCTCCTTGTATTTGTGATCTAAAAGTGAAGGTTTGTGTCTGTTTAATAGATTTAATGGATCAATCCTACCACGATTTACAAGAGGAATTAACAGCATTTGTTAACTGTAAGGAAACAAATCAGTAAAAACATACAGAGCTGAAACAATTCGTTGATTCATTGATTAAGGAGTCAGCAGAAAATGAATATGCAGCTGTTTTGATTGTTGATTAATCATTATAATGTAGATTTAGTAAAGAAAAGTGCCAGAATGAACTGGTTTTGACTTGTTAAATGTGAATTTTTGTCGTTATTTTTGGTCTTCTGTGATAGTAAATTAAATACCTTTGGGTCTTTTGGTTATTTAAAGACATATTTATCTTACAGCAACACTTTTTTTGTCCCATTGGTGACTTAATGTCAGGAAAGCATTAAGAACATGTGATTAGAAACTCTGCTTCAAACCTTTTTTTATAACCAGCTGCTGAACTTGAGCTCTGCACGTTGTGTAACATCCTGTTTGTCCTCTCTCCCGTCCTCCAGTGCCCGAGATGTATGCAGTGTGACACCAAGTTTGACTTCATCAGGAGAAAGGTTTGTCTTGTTGCTGCAAACACAATCACGACAACAAATCTCAGCTTTATCTGACTGGAGGAAAAAAACACACACGAGGGACACACATGCACGAAGAATAGAAAGTTTGAGGCCTTCATTTTTGTCTATGTTGTGAAACCTGATTTATTTCCACACCTGGCTTCTGTTCATTTACTTTGGCACGGAGACACACTGAGGCCTCTGTGGTGACATTTCTTTCCAGTGACTGCTGACATAATAACACTGTCGATCTGTTGCTCTGCTCTGTCCTGTCCCAGTTTCTTTGCATAGCTGGTAGAAAATTCTTCCTCTTTATGGTAAAATTAGCTCAGGAAATCATTTCTCCACAGTAGCTGGTACTTCGAAAACTCAACCACCTTCATTACTGTGTGTATTCTAAAGGTCCAGTGTTTTCTTTTGTGTATAATCACCTAGAAATAAGAATTGTTGTGTTTTTGTCACCTTAGAATGAGCTGTTTATATCTACATAGGGAGCAGGTCCTCGTCTATGGAGATTGTCATGTTGCACCGCCATGTTTCTACAGTAGCCCTGAATGGACAAACGAAACACTTTGTCTAGATAGAGACACATGTGTTTTCACGTCAACCACGGTCATTAGCAGCCCCTCAGCGACTAGCAGCATCAGAGAAACACTGTTTTTTTTTTACCATGAAACTGCTTTATTCAGTGTTTTTACTGGTTTAAATCAGCAGGTCCGTTTGTTTTGGAGAGCAAGAGATGATGACGGAGAGATAGATGTTCATCTTGTTCATTTGAATCTAAGCTTATAAGAGAGAAAGGTGAGCACACATTAGCAGGTGCTAGGCTAATGGCCATCTCTGACACACCAAATTGCATCAGAACGTAAAAACGGCCTTATTTTTTTTTTCCTGTATTGATCAATATCGATATTTATCACATTATATATACAAAGGTGGGCTGTGTGTGTGTGCATGGGGGGCGTTCAGATGTAGCGTCTTTTGCACGCACAAACCCATTACTTTCAATGTAGACGCATATCATGCGCACTCACAACCCAAAGCGACGCCGTAGCGGCACGCATTCGGTGCGACGCGCTTGTTTTTTCGTCCGGCGCACAGCTCCACGGACCTGCCTCTCCCTCCGGTATTGTGTCAGATCCCGGTTCCCCCTCGGGCTGTGTCTCTCCTACTGTTTCCCACGGAGCTCTGCCCCATTTGAAAGGCGAAGGAAGCCCATGTCCTGTGATTTTCAGCCTCCTTTCATATTTAATAGAGGGGGCACAATACCTGACAGTAATATTCTCAGCTGTCAGGATGTGCCTGCTGTAAAGGGTAAATATAATCATAGAAGGCTGAAAATCAGAGGACATGTCTGTTCTGATTATACAAGCCAGCAGTGTAAAGCTCAAGCATGTGGGGGCCTCCTTTCATATTTAATAGAGGGGGGACCGTATCTAAAAGTACAGCTGTCAAGATGCCCCCCGCCACAGGCCTTTGCCTCCTTGGTCTCGAAAAAACAAGGGAAAACCCTGGATATGAAATTTGATTAATCTGTGAGTTTAAAAAGTATCCTGATGATGTCTGACAAATGATTTTCCAGGTTCCCCCGGCACTCGTCGTAAAGCTGAGACAGACCAGTTTTCTTTAACCCGTCTTTCTCCACTGTGCTCATGGGCATCATGTGCAGCTAGACAGTATGCAACTGTGTCTGTTATATCTCTGCTCCTCTTCGATCGCTTCCCATTCGGGGTTACGGCGGCAAAAGAGGACACTATTGATTGCTGTTTAGGTGCAGCCCCGCTAGTGTTCGGCAACTGAGCAACACTTGTTGGCAAACTTCCTGCAGCTTTGGCGCAGATTCCCAAGCTCTCAGTGTAGTCGCTGGGTAGCAATCTTGGTTTTGTTCTGTTTCCCGTCCTGGTCGGCACCAATCGACGATATGTTTTGCATATCGTCTCTGTCCGTGCGTCGTCGCCTTTCATTTAGCCAAACTACTTCCAAATTATTGATGTTGTGCGACCTTTTTTATCCACAATTTCGCCCTTTTTTTAAGGATAACGCCAGCTCTTCTTCTGCCTCTTTGCTCCTCACTTCCACTTATTTATCCTCTTTCCATTATGTCCACACTACTTTTAACTCCTCCTCACCTCAGCACAGTGACACGTCTGTTAACTCCTGCTGCATGACACACTGTTTGGATCCATCTAGGTCCATCCATATAGAATAAAAATGACTATAGTATATCATCGTCATCGACACATATTGCGATCCTGTTATGAGATCGATTATCGCCCAGCTGCATTTATGGATCACGTTAAAAACCTCCTGAACAATGAACACTGAAGGAATTCTAACCAGGAGAAGTTTCAGCTGGTGACAATCTGCAGTCCTCTCTGCTAAATGCCACTAAATCTCCATAAATCCTACACTGTACCTTTTAAACTTAAGTTAAAATAAGAAGTCTAAATGACAGATGGGTTTCATATCACTCAGCTCTCGGCCTTCTTGAGGTTTAAGCACAACAGTTTTAGTGTTTTTCTGTGTTTGATCTAGTTTGTAAATCCACTAAATGTAGAGAAGATGAGTGTTCCTTATGAAGCTTATTGTTTTGGACAAACAGCTGAAGTGTTTAATTTCCTGTCCTTTTAAAAACGCTGTACTCATCATTTTCTACTTGGCTGTCACACCAGATGATCTCAGTATATCTGGTGAGTGTCGGTGATTCAGATTTTATTCACCAGCTTCTGAGACTTCTGGTCAAATCGTTACTTTCTGGCCTGAACTGGAACAAAAACTTAATACACTGCAGTTTCTGCTGACAGACTTCCTGTCTCTGCATCAGTCAGACTCCAACAGAAACCACAGGGGTTGTTATTGTTGTATGTACAGCATTTTCTTTCCCTATAACGTCTTGATTATACATGCGAATATATGACAAATTTATATGGTTAAAAAAGTGTCTGATTGAACGTTTGGTGGCCTCATGAGGATAAGTGTGTTGATGCAGAAATGAGCACAGGTTCATGCAGTGATTGGTGAAATTAATAACCTCATGATTTATTGCAAGGCAGAACAAGTGCTTCTTTTAAAATGCCACATGCACACTACTTTATTCCCTGAATATCATCATATAATACTTTATGGTTTTGTTTTGTATTTAAAGAGACAGTTCACCCCCAAATCAAAAATATACATATACACACCACAAGAACGCAGACATCTCTACAGCCGATATCTCCAACACTCCGCAACTCACACCAAAACAATCTAGACTGATAAACAGCACTACAGGCAAGCGGGAAAATATGTGTGTTTCATTTTTGGGGTGAACTGTTCCTTTAGTGTTACATGCACAATATGAACAAGATGAATAAGCAAACTGTCAGTAAATGTGACTGCAACTGATTCTTCCCCGCAGCATCACTGTCGGCGGTGCGGCCGGTGTTTCTGCGATAAATGCTGCAGTAAGAAGGTGGCGCTGCCTCGCATGTGTTTCGTGGATCCGGTGCGGCAGTGCACCGAGTGCAGCCTGGCCTCCCAGAAGGAGATGGAGTTCTACGAAAAGCAGCTCAAAGTGCTTCTGGGAGGTGAGAAGTTCAACCTAGACCATTTTATTTTTTTATCATGCAACCCTTTCAGTTTCTAAAGTGGTTTATAGAGTGAAGTTCCACTTTTCTAAATCCTTCCCTTTACGTTTGGTGTAAATGCTGTTTCTCACCCTGTCAAGAATCATATTAGGAGTGAAATTAGTTATGTGCATATCCACAAAACATCAGTGGTAAAGAATGCTCAGGATTATTGGTAAACAGGGTCCGCACTGTCATGAAATTCCTGGAGAAATAAAATGACGAAAACTGTTTTCCAGGTTTGGAAATGGTTTGAACATAAATTGTTTTGGCAATTTTTTTAAAAACATCTTCATAAAAATCCTAAAACATGTTACTGAAAAGAATACGCTTCTCATATAATTAATTTAAAGTCAAGTGGTGACTGTTGAAACATCACGACTATCACGTGAAACAGGTCGGCGTCTGCAGCTGGTTGGTGACGGGAATGTTTAACGTGTGAGTAAAGTTAAGGCTAGTTCACATTACACGATTTTCAACCCGCAAAATGCGTCACAGAGACGTGTGTTTCTGTCAGCGGTAGTCTCACCAACTGCGTTACGACCTGTGTGTGCACACCACAAGATTTCTCCACCGAGCCCTCACCGACAGAGCCCCAGATAACGCGGTGACGTCACCAAACTGCTTTTTTTAACTTGGAGACGACACATGGTAAAGGCATGGATATTCTTCCCAGTGTTGAATCAGACCTGCCTCCAGGGCCTGGGTTCAAACACAACGCACTCCTCGTGATCCTGTGGACGCTGCCATTATTGTTGTTGCTTGCTGGCTTGTCAGTGTTGCCAGATCTTGGGAGAGAAACAAGCAACCAGGGCTATGGAAACAAGCCCAAAAGAAGCGATGGATATATATAGAGAAAGGTGACATTTAGAGAGCGAGCCCAAATAAGCAACTCCACTTCAGAAACAAGCCCAAAGTCGCGGCTAATAAGCGGACCTGGCAACCCTGCGGCTTGTCCTCCTCACATTTCTTCCGTCCTCCTGCGTGCTGACATGGGACGTATCCCGCCTCTCATTGGCTGATGCTCTTTGTCAGTCGTGTCACACTTCTCCAGTTTTCTAGCATGCCAGATATCCAGTCCCAGTCACAGACGAGGGGGCGACTTGCTCGTAGGCTTGTTCACACTTGAGGACTCGTTGTGGCAGACTATCGGCCGACTCACCTCCGACCCAAGGTGGCTCTCAAGATCCTCTGCAACGTCAAAATCGCGGTGAAAATCATGTAATGTGAACTAGGCTTTAGCCAGCAGTAGCATTTTGCTTATCTGCAATGCCTGGGAAGATCGTGTTTAATTGTTTGACTTGATAATAGACAGAAATAAATTCTCAGAGTGCAAAATGACGTATTTAAAATGTTTAAATCCCTCAAAATATCCAGTTAACTGTCACATATGATAAAAAGAAGCATCAAATCTGCTCATTTGAGAAGCTGAAACCAGAGTTTTAGCTTGAAAATTCAAATTTTGATGGACTAATTCATTAATCCAATAATCGTTTAACTCTGTTACTGTTGCTTTACAGAACAAATTGTATTAAAAGGTCCACCATAATTTCAAACAGCAAAGTAAACGACACAAGACTTTTGATTAAGTAAAGGTAACTCATCACCGAGAATTAGAAGTCCTGCCAAAAAGTTAGATAGTAGAATATGAATGTTAAAATTTGGGATAAGTTCCAGTCACTGTTTCATATGTCATTTGTCAGATTTTGGAGTTTGGTTTTCATCTGAGTAAGTCATGGCAACTCAAAGAACCTAAGATCAGGGTTTGAAATGTTGCTCAGTGTCTCAGACTGAAACCTGCCTCTGATTTATTATCAGTATATGACTTTATGACCCGACACACGTCACGTGACGCCCACAGTCCCCTGTCGCTTTGCACAGGAAGCAGAAATACTATTAAAATCATCTCTGAAATAATCTAACAGAGTGCCCCTTCCTCCTCCTCCTCCTCCTCCTCCTCCTCCTGCCCTGATAATCCATTGTGTTGTTGTTGAGTGTGGGTCAGTGTGTAGCTATAAATACACAGCAGCAGCAGCTCTTAATGAAAAATCCATCAGCAGCCCGGAGCTGCAGGACGACGGCCGGCTGAATGCCTGTGATGTAGAGCCTGCAGCATGCTGGGGGGGCCTCCTGCTTTATTGATGATGGAGTTATCAATAGATCAGCAGAAAACACAAGGTCACAGAAGATGAAGATAGAAGCGTCAGCTGACTCCTGAACTACAGCTAGATCAGGGTTGTTGGTTTGAATCTGAGAACTTCAACAGACAGAAGTATTATTTGATTATTCAAAAGCCTGATCAGCCATTAGTTTCAACCCAAGCAACGACGAGTTAATGCTCTTGTAAGTAATGTGCAGCAGGCGGGTCATTGTTGCTTCGCACTGGGGTCCTGCATCACCCTGTTGGGACTCGTTTAGCAGTTATGACCCACTTACTGCACATTATCCTGCTCATTACACTGCTGCTTACTAAATACATTTTAAAACCAATTTATTTATTTGGTTTTAAAGTGGTGTAATCACCACTCCTGTTCGCAAAAAGAGAGAAAAATAAAACAAAAAAATGATGAAAAGGGTAGACAACACAAACAGACGCTGCCGTTACAAAGTTAGATTTTACAGCAATTTGACCGAAGATAACTAAAAAATCAGTAATTTGACACAAAATATTAATTTAAAAAAATGACTTAAATAACATAAAAAATATTTTATTGACTTAAAAAGTATTTAATTGGGTAAAAAAAATTATTTTATTGCTTCCACTAAGCATCGATATGCAGAACTGCATCTGTAGCTGCTCCTCGGAATAAACAGACTGTAACAAAGACGTGAAATAAATAATATTTAACATCAACCAAAATGTTCAAATCTAATCACAGACACAATCATCAGAATCCCAGATTTTTTTTAAAAATAAAAAATGTTTTACAAAAATCCCTTTTCCATTTTACAAAAGAATCAACAATGAACAATACGGTTGCACAACTTTCAATTTCTGGGGTTATTGACTAATCTCTCAAGTATGTTTTTATTTTAACCCGTCATTTAATTTAAAGTATAAAATGTCAGAATTAGAGCAAAAATGCTCATCACAGATTCCAGAAGAGCACAAAGTGGCATTGTCATATTGCAAAAACTCAAAGATCAGCTCAAAATCAACACATTTTAGAGGCTGCAAGTGGAAAATATTTGACATTTTATTCTCTATAAATGAGTGAAACAATTAATCAGTTATCAAACTAATTGTCTTTTTCTCTTTGCACTAAAACACACATCTGACCAGGCACTCAGCTGTGGATTGGAGATGGAGATTTCAGTCGATACCAAAACATTTTTGAGGGTTTAACATCATGCCAGTTTTAAATTTTGGGGTCTGGTTGGTCTTTTCATTTGTACAAAAGAACTCCAATTCTGTGCCTTTTTGGTGGAAGATATGGCTCCATTGTTACGGCCAAAATACTTGCTTTTTCTGTTTACCACTTGTGGACTTGTTGTTCTGTTTCCAGGTGGCACCTTCGTCGTCACTTTGGGAACGTCGGAGAAGTCTGAAACCATGACGTGTCGCCTCTCCAACAACCACAGGTGGGCTTTAATTTATTTGTTTTTAATTCCACATATCCACACATCATGATTACANTTTTAATAGCTGTGTAATAATAAAATGCCTGATCACTGTGGTGCAAAAACAAAATGACAAACAGTGCAGCATTTGTTCAGTGTTTTGTAACTCTGTATATTATGGGTGGGAATCACCAGAGGATCCTCTTTAAGATATTGTCACAATACAATATTATTGCGGTTTTAAATATGCTGCGATTTATTATCTTTTTTTCAACTGTTAATGATGTCCCCAAAGGAAAACTTTGTCAACATCTGTCTCATCCTGTCTGTTCATCTCACCTCAGTCATTATTTTGCCGCAGCAAAATGTTTCTCGTGGACTGAAAAAGCAATATACTATATTATTAGTTGTGTTGATTTCTTAAAATTATTTTTACTTTCTATCCAATCGTCAGGTATCTGTTCCTCGACGGTGAAAGTCACTTTGAGGTGGAGCTGTCTCGGATCTCCAGCATGCAGATTTTGACAGACGGGTCGAGTCCAGGAGGTGAGACTCTGTTACAGACAGCCCCAAGATCAGGTGTTGAAATCAGAATTTAAAGTGTATTGCTTCTTTTCTGTTGTGTTAATTACTGGAAATTCTTGTGTCTCCACCATGTTTTATTTTCCATGAGATGGATCCACTAACCAACTGAATAATTTCTTGATTAACACTAACACTTTTGTTTTAAACGAACACTAACAAACTGTTTCTCCTCTGCTGCTTTGACTCTGGCGTCCCGGCTCTTCTTCTTCTTCCTCTGGGCTCAGAGAATGACATTCACACTTACACCAGTCTGCTGGACAGTCAGTATATCTCTGAAGGTTAGCTTCGGTTCACTCTGGTGTTGGTTGGGTCACTCATCGTCATCACTCCATCCTCCTTTTTTTTCCAGATCCGTTTTTTTTTCATCCTGTGTGCATGATGATGCCTGAAAATAAAACCAAAGATACTGTTCTCCTTTTATGTTTTAACATGTCTCTGAGTCCAAAAATCTGACATTCCTGTCCCCTGCATTCAGCATGTTTGTGTCGCACAGCAATGCATACATCTAACCACAAACTTCTCATAAAATGGTGGCAGCTATTGTATTATTTGAGCATGTTGAGCCTGACTACTCCTTCTACTTCTACCGTTTTGGTGCTTCATTTTCAACCCAATCGGCAGAAAAAATGTTGGCATTGTATGTTTCAGCAAACCACCGATACATTACATCTGTAAGTTATTATGTAGTAGATGCGTTAAAACTAGGCCTCTTTACGTTTTAACACTGTGGGTAACATGGTTCGGTTTAGGGGGGAAAAAAGATGTTTTGGCACAGTCACATCTGGAAAAACTGACAGATCAATAACCTCCTAAGCCCTATGATAAGCTATTATGGCAAGGCTTAACTATACAGACCAGTGAGCAGTGATAACTAACATGTCTTTGGGGTCATCAGGTGGGAACCTCCTTTCACAAGTGTTTGGTCTAGCTGGTCCCACGACACCTCCAGGAGGCTAGACAGTGATCTCTGGCGTCCCAGAGACACTCCCCTAATGCCAGGTCTCACTGCTCCCCGCACCAACCCAATAACGTCCTTTACCTTACTTACACATGGCTTTCTCAGCCCAAACAGCACTGCCACCTTCAACAAACCCAGGCTCCGTTCATGTGAGCTCCAGGTAGTGACTGTGCCGGTACTACCTTTCCTAGCACATTCACCATACCCCATTTCACACGCTACATAGCATAATTCCAATATAACCTAAAGTTAAAGGAGATAGATAAACTCACAGGCTTTCTCAGCCCAAACAGCACTGCCACCTTCAACAAACCCAGGATCCGTTTATGCGAGCTCCAGGTAGTGACCATGCCGATACTAAAAACAAAAATGATCTCTCATTTCTTCTCAGAGTGAGATTCAGATTCTGTTACAATATTAATAGTTCCAACTAAATAAAATCTACCACTAATTACACATTTAAACAGCTCCCAAATACAAAAAATGTCCCCTGGGATCTATATATATAAATCAACAGCTGATTTCCTTCTTTTAGTAAAATCTTAAATGATTGAGTTGTGTTTTTTCCACCTGGACCTTTATGCTCTGCCATTTCTCCTCTAATCATCACGCTGTAACCTGTGACAGGCTGTTATGATACTACAACTATCACACATTCACATATATGGAGTTTATTCAAGTAGGTTTACATTACCGAAGGTTTACGACAAAATCACTCGACCACACCGACTCATGAGAGGAGAGGGAGAGACGCTGTGCTGCTGCCAGAGGAGCCGCTGAATGAGTTCCCTCTGAGCGGTAAGTCACTAAAAGAGTCTGAGAAGTCCGGGGCTGTTCATGAAACATTCAGGACGCCACAGTTTATTCCACACTACTGAAGCTGCTCCTTTTTTTGGAACCACCGCAGAGACCGTAATAATTTCGCTTTCAGCCGTGCTTGTTGTTGCCGTGGGTAACAGTATGACGTCAATATGTCAATGAAATATCGCGCGTATCAAGATATGACTTTGTATAAACAATTGCACTTTGTGGCACTATCCCCGGTGGAAAAACAGGAGCAAGTCGCTAAAAACACCCTCATTTGGTGGCCAAAGAGCCGCTGAGTAGCAGCAACAACTTGGTAAAAAACATTCAGCTCATATACAAGGTCATTTTAAAAATGCTGATATGAAATGTTCGTTTGTAACAAATTTGTGGTCTGCAGACACGTACAGTGCCAACATTTTCTTCTGGTGGCTGTGCTGCATTTTATTTTGAAGGTGACTGTGTTTTCTTGTTGTGTTCTCTCATTGATTCTTATCTTCCTTTTTTTTAAAAAATTTGTTTTGTTTCTTCCCCTCACATCTCTTCTGTTGCGACATCTGTGTGATTGTGCATGAATCATTTAAAGAGTTTGTTATTGATAGTTTTGAGGCTGCTGTCATGGGGACACAGTTTGTGACTAAGGGATATCTTGACATTTTTATTTTTGGTTTGTTTCTTTGTTTGCTGCACATTTCCCTTTCTTTTGTTTATTATTCATTAAATAACCTGTAGTTGTTTTTAGTGAGACAAAGATGTAAACTTTATTTGTGTAGAAGGTTTTTTTTACAGTGTTTAAAAGAAGTCTTAGCTTTTTCCCAAAGTGTTCGTGAGGTGAGTGCTTTGAGGAGAAAAGTGACAGACTTTAAAATGTCGAGATAACTTTCTTCAAAATGTCATCCAGTCTGAGCTGAGGACTCCAGTCTTGTTTCTTGCTGCCTGATAATTTATGAAGACAGAAGACTCACAAAATACATTTTCTTTGACAAATAGGCTCATTCAGTTTAATCCATCAATCTGGTTATCTTACAGATATGTGTGTGTTTGTGTGTGGGTGCAGGAGGGACGTCACGGGCCAGCGGCATGCTGCTCCACTACAAGCCAATGGGCTCTCAGGACGCCCAGCAGCTCCGTATGGAGGCAGCAGACGACAAGAAGGTGGCCTCGTTATGGTTGGCTGCGATGCACAAGGTACGATGTCACTGCACTGCAAACAGTTTACGTGTATCTAATACAGTTTATTAAAGTCTTACAGTCCTGCTGAGTGTAAATACACACTCATCACATTATACACAATGTGGAGCTGTGTCAAAGGAACAACTGTCTCCTGTTTTAATGTATCGTGCATGTCTGAGTCTACTGTTGGCTTCTTTTTTGCACATTAAAGGAGAAGTCCAGTATTTTGCACTTTGAGCCCCATTTCTGGGTTGTTTATGATGAAATAGAGTGGTTAAGACCAAAATAGTGACGATTGGTCCTTTTCTGTGAATTTGGCTTTCCCCTGCCTGGCTTAACACTGCTGCCTATGGCCATGTATGAAAGCAAACTGTGTTTTTCATGATGATTTATTTGACATTTTGTCTACCCTGTTCATTTTCTATAGAAGCCTCATTGTCCGTTGGTAGTAATCCGCCACCAGAAACAGGAGGGGGGTTGTTTACGACAAGGTTGTAGTCATTGTAGTCTTTTAGCTCAGCGAAAGTGCCAACTCGACAGTGCTGTGTGCGCTCCTGGAGGAAGAACGAAAACGAACGAAAAAGTTTTGTAATAAGTTGAAACAACTGCACAGTGGATTACTCGCTTGTAAACAACCTGCGCAGTACGATGCCTTTGAACACAATGCCAACCTTCTTCTTACATTGCAATGGTTTCCTGCCGGTTGGCGACACCCACGTAAAGGAGCATTATTGCCATCTAGTGGGCTGAAGTGTGTCACGCTTCACAGTCAAAGGAACGATCAAGCGGAAGTTTACACACGGGTGTGAGGCAGCTGAAAACATAGTTCCACAATCAAGATGAAGAACGAAAACACAGATGGAGACCACAGTTTGCTACGATTTTTCTGTCAGAACATCAATGAACACCACTGACCACTTGCTGAGTTTCATGGCTTTGAAAACGAATGTTTAGGGTGGTTTTAGGACAGGTTCACACATGGCCATAGGCAGCAGTGTTAAGCCAGGCAGGGGAAAGCCAAATTCTCTGAAAAGGAGCAATCGTCAAACTTTTGGTCTTAGGCTCAAAGTGCTAAATACCGGACTTCTCCTTTAAGTCAACGCAGACGACATTAGGAAGACTGGAGTTTAAATAATTAGTTGATTTAATTGATTAATTGATCCACAGAGAATCAATCTGCAACAGTTCTGATGATGAATTGTCTATCATGCTAAATGTTCTGTACTGTCAGCTCCTGTAATGTGACGATTTACCACCTGTTCTCTGGTGACGTCACTGTTACACCGTAAACTGTTGGAGAGTAATTATGTGTTAGCACATTAATGTTAAATAGCTCAATTGTACTTAATGCATACATGTTAGCATGCCAATAGTTAACTAATAAGTTAGCATCAAGAGCAAAGCACACTGTAGAGGGGTCACAACATGGCCTGTCCTCTGGCTCCACCTTCAGGCTTAAGTTTGCATTTTTGTCTCACTGATGATAATGATCTAAGAATGTAAAATCTAATTTAATATAAATCACCTGTTGATTTATATATATAGATCCCAGGGGACATTTCTTTTGTTTAGTTTTTACTGAATATTTGATGCAAACTGTAAAAATATATCACTTATTTTGTTCTTAAATTAATAATAAATTTTTTTTTACTACTTTGTCATATTCTCAAGAATATTGTCACTGCAAAAATACCCTGAAATATCATGATACTATTTTAGGGCCGTATCACCCACCCCGAATACAGCGAATCTCCATTTTTTTAACATTGTCTTTATTGTTTTTATGATTTTAGCCCTCGTGTTATATATATTGTAGCATAATACACATTTTTACCAGCATACTTCTTATTCTGTTTCCATTTTCTTATCATTACTCTGTGTGTATATGGTATAAGAGCAGCTGTAAGGTCTCACTATGGAGCAATAAAGTGTTGTGAATCTGAATCTGAATAGCAGAGTTGTAGCTGTTGATGTGATGTATCCTTGCGCTGCATTAACATGTTCTTTTAAATCTCTGTCTTCCCTCACAGGCGGCCAAGCTGCTGTATGAAGCTCGGGACCAGTGACCTGCAGGCAGCCTGTCCAACCCTCCAGGCAGCACACACCCAAGTGTTTTTGTACCCGGTCTCACCGGGGTTTGGTATCGTTTGGATTTTTATTAACACCAGTTCTGATTCTGCTTATCCGTCTGATTCCTCATCGGTTCTTGATACCAGTTCTTATCATGGTGATTTCTGCGAGAAATGTTTATACGAGAAGAAAACACTTTATTACCTCTATAACCAGTACTTTGTACGTCATGTTTACCACAGATAGGCTGATTATTCGTCTTTTTGGCATTTTACATCTCAGAGTTCTATAATCCTGTTTGTTTTAATACATAAATCAGGGCATGCAGCATTAATGTCTAAATGTGGGACGAACTGAGACAGCAAGAGAAGAAGCTGTCCAACACAAGGTAGAATCCGTTGATGTTTGGGAAGCTTCTGCTTTTAATTCCTGTTAGCTTTCTCAGATTTGAGAGTTTTGATCCTTTGATACTTAGAGTTGAACTTTGACAATATAACAACAATGAAATGTGACATTAGACCTTTCATAAACCTTTTTTCATAACGTCAGAGATGCAGTAAATCTTCAGATAGAGGCACAGTTATTTCAATAATTTTATATGCTGCAGTTAAATGTCTTCTTTGTGTGTGTGTGTGTGTGTGTGTGAACTGGGATTTTATTTCCCTGAAGGAGTGATGAGACACTTAACAGATCCCTGTAGGGATGGGTTTTTTTATTTTTTAATTTGGCTGACCCTCCTTCTACAGAGGTCAGCTCAACAGCACCAAGTAGGGACTGTATGTCTGTGCTCGAGGGACCTTCAGCAGGATGGGTGCTCGACGTTTGAACCAGTTTGATCTTCCAGATAAAGCTTTGTCTCGCACACATTAAAGGACAAATCCACCTGTAAAACCCTTTAACGTAGACAGAAAAGCAGCTACACGTGATGTGCTTTGCATTGTGGAGGCATTCTGGGAAATGTAGGATTCCAGCAGAGGCTAGAATGCAAAGAGCATCACAAATTTATCCAGAATGTCAACAAAATCTGTTGGATTTTTCCTTTAACACACCTGCGTCCATTACAGTTTCAGAGTAAATGAAAGTTCAGGTTTCTGTTTCTTCTCTATAGATTAACACGTCAATAACTCTCCTCTCTGCTACGATTATTTACAGGTTTCAATCTTCAGACCTCTGCATCTGAGGAAACTACAGACTATTCACTGATTCTAGTGAAGCATAAACACACAGACATAAATAAATGCTTTAAATGTAGTTTCATGGATTAAAGTTTTGTATGAGCTATTTTGTTAACTATTCCTACTTTAACACAAAGTGTGTACAACGTACTTGCATCACTTCTAAAGCTGAAGGATAGTTTTTTTGTAACACTTGTAAACAGTAATTGCTTTTGTCCTACTCTGTCAGGTTTTCCTTTTTTTTTTTTTTTTAAATTTTGTTATTATTGTCCAGGATGTGAAATCACCACCTTCAGTCAGCCCGTTGCTGTTCAGTGCTGGTTGAGTTGGTGGGTTTGTCAGTTCGGTGGTTAGTTGTACTTCCAAGGACCTATTCTAAAGAGAAACGTAGTTTTGACTCAGACGGTGAAACTGTTAGCCAGTGCAAGAAAAAATGTAACCTTGCTCTGCAGCCAGATATACTGTACATGCCCTCAAAGTTAGATCATAGCTTCTGTCAAAAACGAAAATACAGACTGGACCTTTAAGTGGACTTTAGTTTTAGTTTCCATGATGAAAGTTTTTGCTGCCATGTGACACAAATGTGACATTACCTTTAAAGGTTTAAGCCCTGATGTTGTGACAGTGTCTGCAAATCTCCAATTTTCCTTCAAGCTCCGGCTAAAAGTTTTGAAAATTTTCAGTTGGACGAAAATTTTAGGGATTTTTTAGCACTGTTGGGTAAAGATGTGTATTTTTAACTAATTTAAAATCTTGAACATACACTTAAGCTTAAGCATGAGGCTTTTTTGTGAATTTAAGTGTGAATTTAAAGTGAGCTTTGGTGTTTTTCAGCCTTCTTGTGTCTGAGTGAATATTGGAGACTGGAACTTTTATAATTATTTCAGTATTGAGAGACCCGCATGGGGGAAACTAGCTGCAGTGTGATATCTACAAGCAGTTGTGCCACGTCAGTTTACGTCGACTTAAAGTGCTTGTTTTTGTTGCTGAGAGGCTCCAATTGTTGTGACAACTTAAGCCTAGTTCACATTACATGATTTTCACCCTGATTTTGCATCGCAGAGACTATTGTAATCTTTTGAGTGTTCATACCTGGTGACGTGTGTTTCGGTCAGCGGGAGTCTCGCCAACTGCGTTACGACCTGTGTGTGCACACCACAAGATTTCTCCACCGAGCCCTCACCGACAGAGCCCCAGATAACACAGTGACGTCACCAAACTTGGAGACGACACATGGTAAAGGCATGGATATTCTTCCCAGTGTTGAATCAGACCTGCCTCCAGGGCCTGGGTCCAAACACAACGCGCTCCCTGTGATCCTGTGGACGCCGCCATTGTTGTTGTTGCTTGCCGGCTTGTCAGTGTTGCCAGATCCTGGGAGAGAAACAAGCAACCGGGGCTATGGAAACAAGCCCAAAAGAAGCGACAGATATATATAGAGAGAGAAAGGCGACATTTAGAGAGCAAGCCCAAATAAGCAACTCCACTTCAGAAACAAGCCCAAAGTCGCGGCTAATAAGCGGACCTAGCAACCCTGCGGCTTGTCCTCCTCACATTTCTTCCGTCCTCCTGCGTACTGATGTGGGACGTATCCCGCCTCTCATTGGCTGATGCTCTTTGTCAGTCGTGTCATACTTTTCCAGTTTTCTAGCATGCCAGATATCCAGTCCCAGTCACAGACGAGGGGGCGACTTGCTCGTAGGCTTGTTCACACATGAGGACTCGTCGTGGCAGACTATCTGCCGACTCACCTCCGACCCAAGGTGGCTCTCAAGATCCTCTGCGACGTCACAATCGCGGTGAAAATTGTGTAAGTGAACTAGGCTTTACAGAAAGAACCACGTCTCGCTCAAGGAGAAGTTTCATTCTGACATCTTGCAGACTTTTCCCACTATGTCGAAATGGGCTAAATATTCAGCTGTGAAGTTATAAGTATTTTAGATGACACTAAGCTACACTTTCTGTTCTCTTCCACAACACATTCTTCCCTGCACTCCTCCCTCCAACTCTCACTAACGTTTCCACCGTTGTTTTTTCCACAAATCGGCTCTCGATTTCAGAACCAGACATCTCCTTGAGCGAGACTTGGCTACACACAATGACAAACAAACAATATCAAGGAAAACGTTTCATTTCTCTGCAGGGATCCTTTCCATAATGTTGTCGGACACAATCTGAGCATATCAATGGCAAAATCAAGCACTTGTAGTGGATGTACATCAACAGTGAACAAATGCCCCAAGCGGTTACGTTGTGGTTTGTTTTACTGCTGCTGGCTGCAACGCTCTCTCTCAACACTCCACCAATTTCAAATGGTGAAGTGTCTATAGGTCACACAAGCCCCGTTTCCACCAAACACTTTCAGTATGGTACCTTTGCGAACCAACAGTAACCTTTCAGACATGGTACCCAGACCCTTGGTCCCTTTTAGCGTTTTCACCACAAACAATCCTCTTAAATGTGGGCGGGGTTGTTGTCACTTCCTCATTATCGGTGACACAGATGGAAGTCTGCACCTCGTTTATCGTCCACAGAACGAGGCTGCACACCGACATTTTCACAATAAACTAAAACAGGCTGCAGTGAGAGTCTCTCTCCATGGGATATTTAAAAATAGCAGCTTTGTGCATTTAGTCCTTCTCAGGCAAGCTCAGGGGTTTAGTGTTGCTGTAGCCCACAGGAAGGATGCTCCGTGATGCTTTTTTATATAAATTAATATGTATTTTTAAACATTTGAAGATCCACTTATTACTAAAAGTGTATCATCCAAGAGAGACTATAAAAGCTGGGTGATGGTAAAAGTTGTCACAGTGAAATTTAAGGTGTGCTGATGGATTGCGTCATCACCTCATACATTAAATAAACTAACGTTCCACCTTAAAAGTTGCCGGCAGTCGGCCCAGTGAATGAAGTTATTTTTTCTCAGACTCCAGCTGCTGTGAGAGGCAGCAAAACATCCTTTCATTTTATAGTTACAGTTTACTAATAAGACTCTCCACAGTATGAACAGTGGTTACATGAGCCTCAAAACCAGCCACAACTCAGCCCTGAGCAGAGTGACCGTCCTCTACTGACCAATCAGACTGCAGTGTTCACAGCTCCACCTTTTTAGTACCACATCTGTGTGCTAGGTACCCCAACAGAGGGGGGACCAAACATGGGGACGGTACTGAACGGTTCCATTGGTACCATCCACGGAAAATAGTGTGCCGAACTGAACTGAAGGAGAAAATGTGGTTCAGGCTGAAAAATACCAAAGTTTCCTTTTACAATTACAAGAACTTCAAACAAAGTGTTGTGACACAAAAATCTTAACTCTTACCGACTTTTTCACGCTGAGCAAGACGGTGAGATGCAGATGAAACCTCCAGAAATGGATAAGAAGTGGATTTTGTTTAGACTTTTTTTGTCAAAACAACCATTGACAAAACAACCTTGAAGGCAGAATGAGTGGGATTTGTTGGTTGCGGTTTGTAAACATTAAATATTATATTAAATATTATAAATGCAGTTTCAGTCGTGAACACTATGTGCTGTAATTTAGCTACGATTACCAAGTATCATCGGCTTTGCAATAGTTTGCTGGCATCCGTGCGTCTTCCCTGTTTTTTTCAAAGCTGGAAGAAACAACGTAAAACGTCCAGCACCTCTGCTTTCACTTTGTAACATAAAGTTTATTTTTATACGCTGCTCACCTAAGAATTAAACCCACAAGTTGTCGTTTGGTTCGAGACTTTTTTTTTTTTTAAGAACAGAGACGGAGGACGGTTTTGTGAGGTTTTTGTGTAAAAAGAGTGTGGTCACTCTCGATGTCGTCTCAGAGGCATTACTGTACATTCACAAGGGTATCCAGTTAGGTTCTTCCATTATAGAGATGTTTGTTATGAAGATACATGTGAGGGCTGCACAGTGAGGAACACAAATGATCATATTAGCTT